GTGTAAATAAAATGACCCCGTCCGTGTAATATATTTTTAAACTTTTAGTTTAAAAATTATAAAAATTAAACAGCCTACAGCATTTTTAGTCTTTATTTCACAGTTAAAATAAATATTTATCAAATAAAGTCTAATGTTACCAGTAATCGGGGATCCCTTTAAACCACTAGCAAACCACCTTTACCAGCATTTTGTTGTTGCACATTTTAAAGTACAGTTAATGACATAAAACTTATCTAGCTCGATCAATCCTTCAAACAATTAATTAGCAGTTTACCTGCAGAGTTGTAAGCTAGCTTAAATTTAAGATTCCCTCTCACTGCTTTTGCATCAACGCTCAAGAGAACCGAGTCTCCTGATTATAAAACAGGTTTTTAATCAAACTGTTAAATGCTCTTCATCACAAAACTGTGCAGTTAGAATATGAAACCCTTTCAAGGAGTTTATGCAGAAATCAAGCACTTTCCAAASCTTTGCTCAAAGCATTTGAAGGCCTGTCAGAACCCTGTTAACTCACGTTGTCAGTGAAGACCACACCAAACTTCCAGATCTGGTACTTGACGTCGATGGATGTGATCCTGCAGAGAGCAGAAAGCGTTGAGGTGTTTCSTCCTGTAAACCTGAGGATTACAGAGTGAGCGGATTGTACCAGCTGAACATGGACGTGTCCGGCTCAGGCTTCTTCTCATGCGTCATGGCGCTCACGTCCAAAGAGGCCAGGTCCATGCCCAGCAGCTCRGCGATTCTCTCTCTGCCGTAAATGTCTCCGTATTTATCCAGAACCTGAAGGTGGCGGAGGAACACTCAGAGGGAAGTTTGACTTTAAAACCTTAGAATCATGTTCAAAAACTCACCTTTCTTTTTACAAACTTGTCCCAGTAGTTGTTGGGGAAGGTTCTACATTAGTATAAAAAAGAGTTAAGATCAAACTAGAGAAACATTTTGCAGGTGACGTTTGGCAGAAATAAAAGCTAACGTTGGTAGAAACGTTTCTGTGCTGATGTTGAGTAAATGATATGAACAAAGTTGTGCTGGCGTGGCGGTAAACGTGGCGTTTCTTACGGCGTGTTGAGCACCAGTCTGTCCCACTGGCCCTTGATGTCGTCGTCCTCGGGCTGCTCCGTCACATAGACGCCGTCGAACTCCAGCTTCCTGGCCAGCTCCTTCTCTCTTTTGAAGATGACCAGAGGAACCTGAAGCAGAAGACATGAAGCACAGGAGGTGTAGCCCAGAAGCAGGCGGGTCTGTTCCCATGCAGGACACCTGACGCACCTTCAGGCAGTTGTAGCCGATGATGCACAGGAAGGARATGATGGTGTGGACGATGGCCAGGAAGGACAAGGCCGGCTCCATGTAGCCCGTGCTCTCCTCCAAGAAGTAGTACAGCGGACCCTCCTCCTCCTCGTCCTCACCGCCCTCCTCTAACCCGGACCCTTCCTCCTCGGCAGCAGAGCCTTCGAACAGGCCGGAGCCCTCGAACAGRCCGGATCCCTCAAACTCCTCCTCACCTGGTGGCGTTTCAGAAACCTGCAGACGTTCAAAACACAAAAAACATCCTTTAGGTCAGAGATTCTCAAAACGTCGGAGTCTGAACCCCAGTGTTGGTCATGATGAAGGAATTTATTAGTTACATACTGATTTTAAAAGCACTACACCATTTTCGTAGTTTTCCTTTTTAAGTATTGACTTTTATAATCCATTGTTTAACTATTGTTATGTCTTGATTAAAATAGTTTAGATACATGCCCAAAACACCATCACAACACATAAAAAAACGTTAATCAAACATAAGTACAGGTTTTTTGTCTGAGTGTCTGTGACTCAGCCGTAGGCCAGTAGTGGGCGCACCAGGCACTGAAGAACATGTACACTCACCGGCCACTTTATTAGGTACACCTGTCCAACTGCTC